ATTATCTATTTATTAGTTATTAAGTATATTTATTTATTAATTATTAATTAATAAATATAATATAATTAGTAATCAATAATTAATTATTTAATATAACTTTATTGATAATTATTAATTATATTATGCTGATTGCTGCACAATTTAAAAGTTAAAATTATTTTTGGACTGTTTGTTATTTTAGCTATAAATTTTTAAAATTCTTTAAAAATTATTTTTTATAATTTTTATCAAATACTATTATCACGATTATTAGAGAAGTTTATTTTAAGCTCTAAGAAGTATTAGGCTACTAGCAAAGCACTTTTTATCTTACGAAGAAAATCAAGGCCTATTTGGTAATTTTGCACTGCTTGAAAAACGATATAACGAGTCACGCAACAAACGTGACTCTGTCTCTCTCTCTCTCTCTCTCTCTCTCGCTGTAGCTCAGAGAATCGAATCGTCAAAATCTCATTGCAAACAATTCCTTCGCCGGGTTCCCTAGGGGAAAGAAAAAAAAATCCTCGCTGAGTTTCATATCTCATTTCTTGCAGAACAAGTTCTGGCAGAAAAAGGAGAAGAAGAAGAAGAAGAAGAAGAGATCCTTTCCCGTACGGAGAAACAGGTGGCCCAGTGGGCCACGTGGCGAACACAACGGGCTTCCACTACAAGCCGTTGATCAAAACATCAGATTTCAGTTACGCAGAGGTTAAACTTATCGGACGGTTCAGGGCTAGAGACCAATCGGGAGCGTTGATCCTAGTCGGAAGTGACACGATGGCACGAAACTTTCTCCGACGTGGACGACACGTAGGAAGTTACTTCTCGTGATGAGAAAGTGATCTAACGGCTGGTGTGGGCCACGGATTATAAACCGTTGATCGTGCAATGACGTGTGGATTGCATTTGGGGCGCTCTGTATAAATGTGACTCGAAGAGAGAGAAAGATAGAGAGAGAGAGAGAACATGGCCGTTTTCTGATGCATTAAATCATGATTTCACGGTGCGAAAGCTTTCGTCTTTCCGTTTGATGAACTTTGAGAGAGAGAGAGAGAGATTTCATACAGGGAAATGAGCTTCAGAGCTTCACAGTGAATGAAAGAGATTGTTGAATTTTTTTGTTTTGTTTTTGGAAAATTGAAGGTTTAAGTAAAATCAGCAGCTTTAAACTCGGGTGATCACTCGTCTATTATTCAATGATCACGGACTCGCAGTTTATGATATACTGGGTAAGTTTCAAATGGGTTTCTTTTTCCTTTTTCTTCTCAAAATAAATGGTATTTTTTTGTTTTGGTTTGACGAGATTCGACTATTAACTGCTTTCATTAATGTTGTGTTGATTTTCTATTTAATTTTGAGGAAGGCGATCTACTCCATATTTTCACGGGCATTTCATTTGGGAGCTCTTTATCTTTTTTTTCTTCTCTTTGGTTTCAGCTTTATGATGATTTTGTTGGGTTGAGAGTGAGTTTTCTTTGTGTACCCTTTCTTCTTTTTGGGCTCTCTCTCTCCGTTTTGCTTTATTCATGAAGAACCTGATTCTCTGTACTATTACAACACAAGAGAGCAATCTTTTCCTGCTTTCTTCGTTTTTTTTTTTCCCTTCTTACAGTCTCTCATCTAGCTTATTGTTTTCAGTTTTCTTTTACACACACACATACACACTCTCTCTCTCTCTCTCTATACTCGGTTATTGTGATTCCCGCGGGCGAGATCTCTCCGAGTTTTACTTTTTTAAGACTCTCATACAGACAGAAGAGAGAGAGAAAATGGAGAGATATTTTGGAACTCTAAATTGATTTTCTTTTCTTTCTTTTTTCCCCCCTCTTGGAAAAGCCAAACGCCCCCCTTTTTCGGATTTCTTTTCCGGCGAGCTTTTCGGTATAAAACCACACACATCAATCTCTCACTGGTACGTTGTTTTCGCCCACTTTCTTACTCGGATTTCTGGTGACCTGGTCTCATTACAAAAAGGGACAGAAAATAATAACAACAATAATAAAAAAAAAATCCTTATTGTTAATTTTTTAAATTGTTATTTTTATTTTCCCCGACCTTTTGCGTTACACTGTTCCGTAACTGAAAAAGTAGAAGAAGAAGGAGAAGCTCAAATCGGAGAAAACGAAGCAAAGAAAAAAGATCTGAAATCAACTTTCGGAGTCGCTTTTGAGGCTCAATTTCTGAAGCGTCTAAGCCATACGTTCGTACTATAGTTTTTATTTATCCCCCAAAAATGGACAAAGCTCGAGACGTGAGGCGTGGAGCTACTCGTTTTAAGCATTCAAGACACAAGCTCCACTCTGGTGAATTTACTTTACAATCCTCCTCTCTCTTCTTGTGCAATCCTCTGTTTTGTTCTTCTTTGAATTTTCTCTCTCTCCCAAGGAAAAATACAAAAACCCATTATAGTACTTGTCCTTTTCTGTATATTCCTTCATTCCTTCGGTTTACTGATAAGAGATTGTTGCTGATAATGCGCGTCTCTTATTATCATCACCCTTTTTTCTTGGGTTTTGTTTTTGCTCTATATTTATATATATATGTATATTCTGTGATTGTGATTTGAAGGCCTGAAAGGTATTGGTGAGGACTTTGAGCTGTCCGAAAAATCGAGGAGAGAGAAGCTCAGGAAATTGAGCGCCGTCGTTGGGAGATCGAGCTCGAGTTTCGAAGACTGCGAAATGGGTTCTGATAGAGAAGAAGAAGATGAGCTGCGCAGTACTGTTGGTACTACTAGCAAGAGATTTAAGCTTTCCCAAAAGGTTTGTTTGCTTCCGAAATCATCTATTTTGATCACTGGAGTAACGAGTAATATCATACTGTTCATCTTTCTTCTTTTGTTTTTCTATTAATTTTTAATTTTTAATTTTTTTATTTTTTTGGTTCTAAATCATGAAGTTTCTTGATGACTGCAACCGCGTTGGTCATGCCTCTGTTCCGCGAAGGCTACGCTCAGGTGTGTTCGTTAAGCCACAAAAATTACAAATAGAAGATTTTTCCTTTTATCCTTTTTTATAATAAACATAATTATAAATATTCAATACTGGAAGCTCCCCTGGGAGCCCCCCGTTTTTTTTTTTTTTTTTTTTTTTTTTCACTTCTTAGATTATCTTATAGTTTAGCCATTTGGTGCTTGAAGCCTTGATATATTGTTTTTTCATCATGGGTTTTCTAAGAAGTATTCATTTTTTTTATTCTTTTATTTTTGCTCATAAGGAAGTTTTCGATTATTGTTTCTTCTTTTTTTCCCCCTCCTTGTCGCTTTGCAGTAATTCTTGATTAGGAATGAAGCAAAACTGAACTTTTGCTGTTCTTTTTTTTTTTTTCCTGGACAGAATGATTCTTTGCATCTCTTTTCCCCTTTGATTTAATTTAATATGCTGATTCTATGACTTTCGTAGTGAATTGATTCTAAAGTGTGTGTGCATGTTTGGGGTTTCACTTCATTCTGTTCTGTCGCACACTTTTCCAAAGCAAGATACTTAAAAAATTATAAATAAATAAATAAAAGAGAAGCTTTTATTGGGTATGTCGAATCAACTGATAAATTGAATATTAGTATTATTTTTAACTCTTGGCTCTTATACAGCGATGAAGAAGCGTAGTCCCAATTCTATATCTCCTCCTTTGCCAGATTCAAAGAAACTCAATTGCTCAAAATTTGATGCTATAAAGAAATCAAAGTCAAACATGGTAGTTATAGATTTACTAGTTGTTCTTATTTCAGCATTTTCTTTTTAAAGTTTTTTTCAAGTGGGCAATTTGATCTACTTTGTCTGGCATTTCTTTTGAAGAAACAAAGAAGAGCAGACAAGTGCCCAAAACAAACTGTTTCAGTGCCGATCACAAAGGACGAGGAAGAAGTAGCCGACACTCTGTATGCTTTGGCTGGAATGTTCTTTAACACCAACAACAACGCAAATGACAAGCCAAAGAAGAACCATGAATCTTCAAAAGCTAAGCCCTCAGATCTTCAACAGTCAAAGGGCAGTCATAAACCAACACTTGAAGGTTTTCTACATCAATTTCTTCTTTATAAATTTATGCGTTTTTCTTTCTAGGCTTTTGTAAGCCGTTAACTAAACAAGGATCAGATTTTGGCGTTGCAGAGGAAAACATAAGGTCATCTAGTGTAGAGAGATTAGCTGAAATCGTCAAAGTTGAATCTTGGAACGAACCCAATATTACTATAGATGGACCTAACTTGCCACACTCTAAGAAGCTTCATTTGCCACCAAAAGATTCTGCACCTCAAGTGGATCTCAATGCTTCATCATCCTTGCCGGCCAAGACCGAAGAAACTGGTGATGTTAAGCCTACATGCAGTTCTGTTAAGTTCCGCATTCCATCGGATGCTGGGTGGGTGCCGGTGCTTTAAATGTATTCTGAAACTCAAATTCAGCTTGTGCCTTGTTCACAAAAAGAAAAAAGAAAAAAATCTGCTTCTTCCTTTTTCCTCTATTATGGGATGGACATCTGCGTTTGTTTTTTCTTTGCCCTTATTGTGTTTCTGGTACTCAATCAGATTAAAGCAAGCCCAGCAAAAGGAGGCCTCATTTCTTGATAGGAAACCAGAAACTGCATTCGGGATGGTAAGCACTGAGCACAATTCGGCCGAGTCTAAGCAAAACTTCTCTCGAGCATTGAATAATATCTAAATCTTATTCATCTTATCCTGTAGGCTACACCTATCGTCAGTCAAATGGAACCACAGCATACAGTTGAGGAGTGCAAGAAAAGTGGTCAGCTTCTTGCTTGCTCAGATACTCGTACTTAGTAATTTGATTTTCAGTATTTTATCAGCAAAATGATCTTTGATTCTTTAATCAAAGGTCTGGCAATGTGGCCTGGATTGCCATCAACAGTTTCAAAGGGTGCTCGAGTGGATGATCGATGTTTGCCGTGAGTTCTTCTGTTCTTTTGATTCTAGACCTCATTTAATTAGTTTTGTATTCATTTTCACTCATCTGCTAATGTCTTATGCTATGCCAGGCCCTCTGCTGCTAAAATGCCGGCTTGGCTTGATGTTGCCTCTAGAAGTAGCTCAGTCCAAAGTGACTCTTTTGGAAAGGTCAGGAGGATTTGGAATGTCTTCTTAAGCTTTCAGTCTGCTAATTTCTTTCAACATCCGCATAAGTTGTCTGAATGTTTAGTTTATAACAATACAGATCTCTAAAGTTACCTCGGATAGAAGATTCTTTAGGAGGTGTGCAACTCATGTCTACATTAGTCGTCTAATTCAAGCTTTAAGAATGTCCGAGAACAAAGACAGATTTTCCCCGCCCCAAGGTCAAGTGAGACCTCATGAAAGATTAAAGCAAGGAGTTTTTCCGCCTATTAACAACTTCGTTGGAGTTGAAAATGGTGTAAAGGAACATGTTTCTGCTAGCTTCATAGATGGTGTTGTAGCAAAACAAAATCCAAAAGGAGCTAAGACTGGTGTTCTTCAGCAGAAGCTCCATCAAGATCACCCTTTGTCTGCTGTCTCACCTGCGGTGTCCACATGGCGGAAGCAGGTGAGCTTATAACAATACAATTTCTATTTATTATCTTCTCCAATTCGTTCTCATTATTCTCTCATTTCTGGCAGAATTTTGATTTATATTTATCGTTGGCTCGAGGTGGTGGGATAGAGGCTAGTGATAGTTTTGGTAGAGCTAGAAACGGATGCGAGCCAATGTCACAGCTCCAAAATCCTTATCTTCCTTCACTTGCGCAACACCAGTTTGGCATGCCTTTCTCGTTGCCACAGTCATACTATAACTCCTCTGCTTGCGGTGATCATCGTTCATCAGCACAGCAGGTATGTGACTCCTTCCTTATGCTCTCAATCAATTGATGAAAACCAAGGTTGAATAGAACAAGGGTTAATTCCATAAATGGTCCCTGAGGTTTACACTCAATTCCATTTTAATCTCTGACTTTTTAAACGTCGCACAAATAGTCCATGAGGTTTTATTTTGTTTCAGTTTTGGTCATTCTATCAACTAGGCGTAAATTAGAGTCTAAAATTAGAAACAGCTTAATTTTGAGTCTATATGTGTAAATTAACTTTTGTTTTGTTTTTTATTATTTAGTCTTTGAACTTTATATGTTTCTAATTTTAGTCTATAATTTCTACATATTCCGTCAAATATAATATTTAACTCTAAGGACCGAAATTGAAACAGAATAAAACCTCAGGGATCAACTGTGATGTTTGAAAAGTCAGGGACTAAAGTGAGATTGAGGCTAAACTTCAGGGACTATTTGTGAGATTAACCTATAGAACAATTCATAAAAAAATGGTTAAATAGAATAGTTTCAATATAAGGTCGAGATGGGCGTTGGCAAATGTTTCACTAAATTGAGATTAACAAACCCAAAGCTTTCTCATCTTAACTGAGGTAATGCTTGGTCTTCAGGTCCACATGCAGATACCTTCATATAGTAGCCCATTCTATGAGGCAAGTCAAACAGCCTTAGCGAAACATCAGCAACAGCAACAGCAACCACAGCAACGACTTTGGGGTGCTCAGTATAGGCCAGAAGACGCTCCCAAAACTACAATTCAGTTCCTAGGCTTGCAGAACGGACTAACAGCTCAACTGCAGCAGCAGCATCCTATGTCTGTTGCTCCGTCACCGTTTCCCCCAAGCAAAGTGATGAGACAAGACCACCATTTGCCTCCTGTCTATGAGGAACCTGGAGGAGGGTTCCGTACAAGTGCTCTACCATTGCAGTTGCTCTGCAGTGAGCGACTTTGATGGGGAAATTGGAAGTGGGGGAACAAATTATTTTATTCTTTTTTGGTTCTGTCCATACTTGGGACTCGGCTACTATATATGGGATGAGTAAATAAGAAATGAACATACTATAGTTTCTCGTTTGATTGGTCTTGATTGTCATGTGTTGAGCGGCCAATCAGATGTTTGTGAGTAGGACTATAAAGGAGAAGCTCCCAGCGGATATGGTTAGGAAAAGTAACTTGTAAAGACAATAGAAAGGTTAAATTTTCTATTTGGCGGTGCCAATACCTGATAGTAATTTTCTTTTATAGTCGTACTTACTGGCCCACTGAGTGTTGATATTTAATATTTTCGGTTGCTCTTTGATTTTTTTTTTTTTCCTTTTTAATTTCCTCCTTGTTGTGTTCTCAATAATTTATCAAAGATGATGGACTACTGTACTAGAAAGTATAGATTTAAGTGGTTGGAGGTATAGCCTCGCAGTAATTCCATACTTACTCTTCCTCCACCATAAGGTTGAAGACTTCAAATTCCAAAAAATCAGATGTACGTTTGATCTAACATATGAGACAATTCTGGACTGCTGATCCAAACAAATGAAGCATATCTATTATAAAGATCTACTTATTCTTTTTGTTTTGTTTCTATTAGTTCTTTTTTTTTTGGTCGGTTGGCGGATTCATGATCCACCATTTAGCCCTACAATCGTGTCTAATATAAATCCTACAGCTAGGTTTGAATATTAAGAAGATGCAAGAAATTTGGAAAAATACAAACAGAGAATCACACGTTTCAAAAATTTGCAGTAATCACAACCACCTGAACAGACGCCCTTATTCATGTATATGCCTATGGTATAACACATGAATTGACACAAACAGAATTTGGAGATCCAAAAAAAAACAAGAACTTTTAGTTCCGTTTCTAATGTTACACGAGAGGATCATGCGATTAATTGGGTAAACGAATCTCAAGCCATCAAAAACAGGAGACCTAAACGCCTTCGCCAGAGAAATTTGTCACTCTAGTTTTTCCAGTTCCCCCATTCTCTCTATAATAGCCTGCAAAATAACAAGAGTTACGATCAACATCTCGAGGTTATATTCCCAGTAATCACATATCTGCAACTAGATATTCTTAGAGCATTAAATAGAAGGCACTATAGATCATCGAGGCTAGCTAGGAGCTCATAAGAAGGCAAAAACAGTCGGTGATCGCAAAACTAGCATTCATAAGCACATCTAAATATAGAAAGAGGCATAGATGTTTGCCTTCCACATAAAACGAGATCACACAGATGAAGGTTGGGGGAAAATAGCTGCTCCGTTAAAGCAGTAGAAGAAAAACTATGAAAAGTTTCATAAGAGTCTGCCATGGTCCAGAAACAATACACCAATAAATATCCAAAGATATGCACATACCTTCTTGCTTGTTTCCTGAAGCTCTCCAGCAAGAATGAACTCATCAAGTATGAGGTAAACCTTCACAAGAAAACAAGGATTAGTAAGATGAATGGAACTATATATACAAGTTTAAAACGGGGAAATTTCATCATAATCAGATTTGTTAGGTATACATAATTGAATTTCTGGAATAGTTTGATAAACAAAATAAAAGATTTTCATCACAAAGATTAGACAGTGACACATAGCGACCAATAATGAAGCTAGCTTGTCTATACCAGGAAATTTCATATTTTAATATACGTTTGCAAAAATAACTGCCAACAAACCTCATTGAACAAAACATTCATCGTAAGCAACTAACCTTGTGAAAGTTGAATACTAAATCTAGCTCACACACATTGCTGAAGAAATGATCCAATATCTCCACAAATAAATGTATGCACTCCAAATATGCCAATTCATTATCAGTTATATCAACACACAGAGAGAAGAACAATCCAGCATAACGCCTATAGATTATCTTGTGTGTACGGAACTGCAAGAAGTGTCGTAAAACAAGGTTGTCAGACATGATCATACTAAGAACAAACGTGTAGGAAACCATAAACAGATATGAATTCCGAATTTCTACACCGGGAAAAGAAGTTTAAAGGACTGAAATTCGTTATTATGTGTCTGAAATAAGATTAAATTCATGAATAATATTTATAAAAACGTAGTTTAAGATATATATTATTAATCAAAACATCATCTTGCTCAGATTATTACCCACAGTGAAACATTGATATACAGTCACAAGGCAGCAACAATGCAGGTACATAAGAAAAACCATAACAATAAAATGTCTATTTTCTTCACAAGTCAAAACTCAAAATTATACATTTAAAAAATTCTCCTCAACATTTTTCGGGCGCAAAACCCTAACAAAACTATTACGTGATATATCTAACGATCAAGTAGTTCATTTCAATTTCAGCCAAAAAAAAGGCGCACTCCCAGCTAATCGCAAATGAGAAGTTAAACAATCTGATTTCCAATCCCATTCATAAATTAAATAAGTTATTCAAAACTACATGGACACCACGATTAGGGCAGAAATCAAATCGAAAAAGAGGAAATTTTACCTCAACGAAGTTTGTGTATTTGGGATCTCTGTTTACGACCAAGCGATGAACCTACAAAATCGAACGCAGATATCATTACCCAATAAGAACCAGTTTCTTTCAGGTAAAAGAAAAGGGAAATTATAAACAGAAACATACGGAAGATCTTACCTCGTATTCAACCTTGTGTTTCTCGGAATCCTCGAGGGGAACGTAGTACTTTGCCAGACGGGTCTTGCCCTGCCGATTCTGTAAGAGTATGAAACGGATCTGCCATATCCAATAGTCAAAGACATCGTCAAAAGCTCTAAAATTTAAACAAGAATGGAACGAATTTTTGGGGGAAAATAGAAAAGATTGGAATACCATTCTAATAAAGAATAAAATTCGATTATCCGAGTGAATTTCCTTCAAATTTAAGACGTGATTTGCAGAGAACGATGTTTGAAGTCTGAAGCTCTTTGAAGGAGCCCAGTGGAGATGGAAGACAAGCGTTTTTTTGTTTTTTGCTTTTCGTTTTGTTTTTTTTTTTTTTTCTTTTTTTTTTTTTTTCCTTTGTGTGTGTGTGTGTAACAAGACTATCGTGTGGATACCTAACAGATGACCTGTGTTCCGTCAAAGATGACCGTCGATTTCCGCGACCTATTCGTCGGTATGTGGTCGCTTACTACGACATTTTTTTAAAATTAACTTGAAACGACATTTAGTTTTCGTTAACGACATGATTTTATAATTTCACAGTTTGCTGTCGTTAATTAAGTTGATTTTTTTTTTTTTTTTATAAGTTGAAGCTTTTACCTTCCACATACACACACAAAATAATAATAATAATAATAAATAAATAAAGTTGAAGTTTCTACTTAAAAGTTTCGTCCCTTTAGCTTTAAGACCGTTTTTATAATTGCTTAGATTTAGACGCTTGACGTAACAGTGAAGCAAACTATTAGGGTTAATTCCACAAATATTTTTTGGTCTCGTTTATTTTACCGATTTAAGTTTAAAATTTAAATTTTGATATAGTAAAAAACTTTAAGAAACAGTCACATTTAACTTTTTTACTACAGTAAAAAACTCTAAAAAATAGTCGCATCTAACTTTTTTGCTACAGTAAAAAGCTCTCACATAAAGTCACATCTCAATTCGAATTAAAACTCAAATCAACGAACTAAACGGATCCTTTGAGATTTATTCTAAATCTCATTTTGGTTCTTAACTCTTCCAATGTCTAACAATTAATCTTTGACATTTTATTTTGTTTCAGTTTTAGTTTTTTAGTTAACTAGGCTTAAAATTTAATGGAATATGTGTAAATTTAGTATTAAAATTAGAAATAGTTGAGATTTTAGGACTACATGTTGAAATTAACTTTTGTTTTTTTATTGTTTTAGTCACTAAATTTTATATATATCTAATTTTGGTCTCTAATTTCTACAAATTCTATCAAATATTTAACAACAAGCTAATAAAAGGACTGTAATTGAAACAGAATAAAATTTTAGAGGCCAATTGTGAGATGTTTTAAAAGTCAAGAACTAAAGTGAGATTGAGAGTAAACCTTAAGAACTATTTGTAAGAATAACCCAAACTATTAATAACATATGCAAAATCCATCTCTAAGCTAGTTTTTAACATGTAGGCCTCTAGTTTCACCAATTCAAATTATAACTTAAGTTTTTGTTACAGTATTTTCTCTCATAAAAATTCAATTTAATTTTTTATGCTATAGTGTTTACTTTCACATAAAGTCACTTCTCAACTCGAATTGAAAACTCAAATCGGTGAAACAAATGACCTAATGACCCTTAACAAAACATTGAATAAAATGAAATAAACTGAAGAGAAGAGACAATTAGTAGGACAGTGAAATAATACATCTCAAGCAGATCAGCACTTACTAAACCACTAATCCTCCACCAAGCCTCTCACTCTAAATAACATTAGAAAAAAGAATATGAATTACACATAAGATCTTCGAAATATAACAAAAACAAAAACAAAAAAGAGAAAGAAGCTAAAAGGTTCACCAAATATGCAATCTAATAAAAACTAGAGACCGATTCAATGGATAAAACCAAAACTTGCACCCAAAAAAAAAAAAAAAACAAACCAAGTATGCTTCATGAAAAAACGTCCAGCCAAAACCCAACGAAAAAAAACTAGAAGGAAAAAAGAGTGCATACCTACTCAAGAGAGCCAACTACTAACAAATCTTATATATTTAAAAAAAAATAGATTGTTGATTGTGTGACTCCCATTGCTGCATGTTCACATATTTCAGAGTATCCTTTAAAAATACACCCACACAAAAGTAAGCCAAACATTGATCCATACAAAAGCACATTACAACATAGATCCCAATCACAATACTTTATAGGCTGCAATCTTATTATCTTCAACGGCCATAATTAAATCTTGAGGACAAAAAGCTTCCGGACGAGATATAAGAAGCATAGCTTTCATTAAGTAATAAGAAGAAAGATTGGCTTAAGATAAAGAAATAAAGAGAGCTAAGTTCGCACATATAATACCTTTGCTGAAAAGTGACTCGAGCAATGTGTGAAGCTTCTAACAAAAACTTGTATATACTACATACCTCAATTTTTAGTGTGATGGAGAAATCTATAACTCAATCCATCGAATAACAAGTACATGAAAAATGAACAAAATGAAATAAGAAAAATACAATAATAACAAATGAACAAAATGCTCAATCTAGATTAAAAAAAAAAAAAACAATATTATTTGTAAATCAATAACAAAAATGAAAAATTAGAGAAAAAGTGAAGAAAAAATCATCTCATCTCTTAAGACAATAATGAATTAAGAATTCGAATGAAACCAAGTACGTTGTATAAGAAAATAGGAAGCTGGAACATTAGCAAACGGGAAGAACTCATCACTACAAAAAAACTCAGTTTAGAAAGAATGACGTTCAAAAAAATTGTAATCTCATCTTATATCTTATAGATATATAAGAAGAGAGAATAATGTTGAATTATAAGTTTTTTATTTCAACCAAAACTTCAATGGTTCACATTAATCAATTCTTCTTTTGATTTAAATTCAATGGTTATGATTTATCCACATAGTTTATGTATTCTTTCTACACCTCATATAGAAGTGAGAATGAAGAGGAATCAAATCGTTTCTTCATTTCCTTTTCCCTATCATCATAAACGTATATATTCTACCATCATCACATACATAGTTATCAGGCATAGAGAACTTAATAAATCTAGCCCACTTTAATTAATTTATATATTAAACTTTTAAGACAATGATTTTTTTTTTTTTAAATAAGTAGTGTTGTGACCTTTTATATATAGGTGCTGAACTTTATAGTTATATTTAAATGCAACACTAATGGTAGATTGTATTAACATACCTATATATGACTCATTTCTAATGAAAAGAAAAAAAAAAAAAACATTTTCTTATTGTGACATTATTGATTATACCTCATAATCTTTATGAAATAAAAAACACAAAAATAATTATTTTTTATTGAGATATTATTGACTATACTTAATTGTCCTTAGAACGAAGAAAGCACAAAAAATCAATTTTTTGTTGTTACTACTGTAGAACGTGCGGAGGCATTGAAGCTAATTATCTTAGTCCCTGCTTGGCTCGTTAGTTTGAATTTTATTAATTTGAACTTTTTTGTTTGAATAAAAAAATTTAAACTATATGGTTTAAATTGTAGTTTGAATTGACGTTTAGATTTGCAGTTAAAATTTTAATCTGAACATGAAATAAAATTTAAATTTGTGTTAGTAAGTGTGAAAAGCATAGAGAGTTGACACATTTTTACTATTTAAAAATAGTTTGAACCGATGAATTTAAGGGGGAGCTAAACTCTAAGTTGTGCAGTTTAACTCAGTTCAAACGGAAAATATAATTCAGACTGCGCACTTACCAAATACGAGTCTAAATTGTATTTATTGTTCGAACTAAATTGAACTAAGCTAAACCAGTGAAACAAACAGGATATTAGATTCTTAAGAAAACTAAATTGCATATTTGTGTCGCATGGTATGCTATTTTCATCCTGAAAACTTTACGCATAGGTGTAAGAGTAGAGAGATTGTCTCTGATAGGCCGTCCTATAGTATAACCAGTTTTCTGACCGTTAAATTTTATCAAAATCAAATGAGATTGAAAAAGTATGCAGAATAATTACTAATACAAATCTAACAGCTGAAAATATCAAAAAATAAAACTACTGGAAGTTTTATTTTTCTTATCCTACTATAATCGATAAGTAGGAGTTGCGATAATGCTTTATGCTTTTTGCTTGGATGACACGAAAGTTTCTAGACGTTTCGATCGCATGGGCAGTGTGGTATTATAGGAATGCTGTGGTAAATGGAGCTGATCAAAGGAACTGGTCAGATATTTTTGAGGTTGAGGCCATAACTCATTTACACTTACCAAACCAGCCATTTGTTAGTTTTTTTTTTTTTTTTTTTTTTGCCTAGATTTATTGAAGTTGGTCTTCTTAAGTTAAAAAAAAAAAGAAAGAGTAAGTGTTAAAATTAATACTGAGAAACAAACATATTTGATCAATACTATTTCTTGTTTCATGAGTTTTACATAAATCGAACAAAGACCTAAAGATATTAGTCAAGGATTTCTCTAACAAAGTAATTAACCTTGAACTGTAAAGGTAATTAATCAAAGTATCCTAATAACAAGGAATCTTGATTTAAGAGGGGGACTTAGGCAGCTGCGTTGCAGTACTTCTTAGAGAAGAATCCGACAGATAACCACCATACATATCCACTTTATCATAATCCGCATCATCATCATCATTAGAGGCAATTATGTGATCGATCTTCTTGAAAATCTTCATCAACATCCATGGGCGTCAGATTCATCTTCAAAGTGATCATCATTGAAATCAGCCTCGTCCACAAGAACATCACCAGCTTCCGCTACAGTAAACCTGAAAGTTCTGAATCGACTCGGCGACATTACTCGCATTCTTGGCTTGCATCTCAAGGGAGGAAAAATAATAAGAAAATTATTGCTTCCAGTACTTTCTTCTTTCTAGGAGAAATCATCCTCTAAAACAATAATATCAGGATTATCATAATCATCTTGATCCTCATCATCAGGGGCAATCTCTTCCATAGCTAATTCTTCCTTATCAATATCAGTAGCGATAATGTCACTATCATCTACAAGACGATCAAAATCATCATCATCATCATTATTATCCATTTGATCATCACCAATTTGATTATCAGCATCATCATCATCATCATCAAAGTGTGGTTCGTAATTGGAGTCATATTTGGCAAGGTCATCATTAGAAAACTTGAATGGTTGAAATTGCGACGGCAATATCACACACATTCTTGGCTTGCGCGAGACGAAGGGGAGGCGTGTTGCAGCACTAGTAATAAAAGAAGGTAAGAGGACGTGGCAAAAGAAAAACATGAGAAGGGAAGAAAATAGTAGAAGAAAATAAATGTCAGCAGGAGAAATTTTATTTGCTAGCAAAGAACATCTCCAATACAAATACTAATACTAA